AGGTACTGAGCACTTTGAGTGTTGTTAAATTCACATGACAAGGTATGTACATGGAGCTGTGCTCTGCTCATGTGAAGTAGGACATGAACAGAAGGACATGCGTCTGTCCTCTGCACATTTCTGGTGGTGATATTCCTTTGTGGTAGTGGGGTTTGAGCTCAGGGCTTTGTGCTTGCTAAGCAGGTGCTCTACCATTTGAGCCATGCCCACAGCCCTTTTTGCTTTAGTTGTTTTTCAGATAGAGTCTCGCTTTTTTGCACAGCAGGCCTTCATCGTCAATATTCCTATTTATGCCTCTCCTGTAGCTGGGATGACAGGAACATGCCCTGTGCCTGGCTTTTTGGTTGAGATGGGGTCTCACTAACTTTTTGCCCCACTGTCCTCGAACTTCCATCTTCCCTATTTCCATCTCCTGAGTAGTTAGGATTATAGGTGTGAGCTACCATGTCCTGCCCTCAACTGGTCATTTTCTAAAGCTATTTTGAGAGACACCATAGGTTGATAAAACTTCATAACTGTTAGGGTTCTTTTTAACCTCTGAATTACTTTCATCCAGAAAGTCACCCTTGGTGCTATTGTTTCTCTTGTTCTGAAGCCCTGTGACAACGGCCTGGGCATAGAATCTGAGGCAGAATAGCATAGTCGGCAGAGCGTCTAACGACACTCTGTGTATGTTAATGACTTGCTGGCCATTCTGGAATAGAATAAATGATGAGGGTTTTAATTTATTAATTGCTTTAACTGCGAGCTAGGGTGCAGTATGTGAAGGAAGCATAAACTGGCTTAGTGCTCCTACAGACTAAATGGAGAATTGTAATTCTCAGGCACATAATTAGATTCCTGTCCTTGACTCTTACATTCGAGTAAGTAAAGATACATACAGGCTGTGTTCTGTGTCATTGCCACCTTCCCTTTCCATTTCTGATGCTTATGTATTGAACAGACGTTTGCAGAAAAGTAGCTTGTGTTGAGAAACTCATTGGTATGACCAGCATTTGAGCTAATCCTGTAAGTGCTACCAGCCATCAGTCATGAGGGATTCTGCTAAACTCTGAGCATCTCTCAGAACAATCAGTATGAGCATTGGTGTGCCCGGTATGACAGTTTAGAAAGAGCAGGGTTTTTCAGTTGGCTGTCTGTGTGTTGGGTGGTTACTGGTGTCCTAACAATGCGGTTTCAAATGTCATTTCAAACTAACATCCAAAGGTCATTAAAATTTAGATCATAAGTGACTAGACAACAGAGTAGTAAATTTAAAGAATTAGAATAATACATTCAATTATATTCTTAAATTTAAATAATGAAATAACAAACAGATCCTGCATTGATTCCTAAATATCAAGGTTTTAAGATATCTTATTAAAACAAGTCATTAACAACTTAAAAGTAACTTTTTACACCAGTGCCAGTGCTTTCTTTGGTAGTCACTTGAGCTTTTTCCCGATTACATCCTTCCCTCTAGCTTCTGTCCAGTAGGTGTTTGCCAGTAATATGTTGCTTTGGAAAAGCGTTCTGCATCGCAGACTTGACAGATCATGAGTTACTTCATCCTCCATGAGTTTGGTTTTGGCACTTGGGTTTTCTCATCAGCAGTGAGTGCTGTGGTGAGCTGTGGAATTCTCCTTTGCATACTCACCCTCCTTAACGCCTCTGAGAACAGAATGGAGATGTTCTCCAATCTCAGTGGAATCACCTATCAGATTTGTGTCAAGGTCATGGAAACTGTGGTTTCCTTTTCTGCAAAAAATACAGAATATGATCAGTTAAAATTCGTGGTAACACAGGAGAAAGTATTTTCATTTTCTAAAATCGCTGTGCTTATTTTTCCCAGAGGACTTGGTAAATTTCTCCTACCCCTTCTCCCCCTTGTTTTTTATTTGCCTTCTGTTGTATTGAGTTTTTTGTAGAACGGGGAAAATGATGGAGAGATACTTTATGGTCTAGCCTTAACATTAGTAGACACTGAGTGATTACTGTTGGGTAGAGGGCAGTGTGCTAAATAGCAGACATTAATAAGTGAATAAGATTATACCAAATAGCTTCTGTTTCTAAACATTGCAACTAGAACCAAATTGAACAGGCCTAGATTTTCCCAGTCTTCAACTCTATGAACATACGCAAAACAGTAAGAAACACTTTCTTCTTCAAAGAGTTCATAATGTTTTTGTTTACATTTTTCTTCAAGGGTTTACAGAGTTACAGGTCATCATCATTGCCTATTAAAGTGAACAGTCAGGATCACATATATACAGGCCCACAATCCACACTACCCAGTTTTCTGGTTTTGACCAACAAAATCCTGTATGATTTAAATTCTGATTCAAATCATTTTAGTTTTTGAAATGTAGCTTTAATTTTGAATTTAGATGTGTTTAGGCATGCTGAGATTTTCAAGCATTTCAGATAAAAGGAGAAACATATTGATAGAAAACCTGAGGATGAAATTTCATACAGAACCTGTTTTATCTCCCTGCTGTCTACTTGTGGTCTGACTGACCCTTATGTCTTACAAATAGTGCCTGGACTTGTTCTTTGTGCTCAAGCCACCTCTATGTGACTCCTTCTTAGCTTCTTTTAAGTGAATATATTAGAAAGATAATTTGTCTTACAGCTCAAATAAAAGGCCTGTTTTAGGATTGGAAATAAAAACTAAGACTAAGGTGAAGGTTGAGCTGATAATACACATAGCATGGGGAGAAACCTACAGGAGAAATCAAATGAATACTTAATGCTTTTCTGTGTTGCGTGGTTTACACATATTGTCAGTCTGCTATGTCTGATTTTCTTAAAAACAATTTCTCTGAGGCTGCATGGGTACACTTGAGTGTTGTCTTCATTTGTGTGCTCATTCTGGATTCCACCCCCCCATTAGAACTTAGAACTGGTAGCAAAAACATAGTTAAAGGAGGCTTTTGATAAACTCTGTTAGGCCTAATTAACCCTTTGTTAAGTTAGATAGTCTTTAACAAGCTCCCTTATGTTCATTCAGGGGTTCTGAGAGTGGCATTTTCTCTTTAATGGGCTTTGCCTAGAAGTAAGGTACCATTCTAAAATGAATAATTTTGTTTGCCACAGCCTCAGCTTCCCAAGACCCCTGACATATCACTTAATTTAGAAGGAATTTTAGATCAGGTTTAACCCTCTTCACTGTGATGCTTTTGCTGGTGAGTCTCAGTCCAGAATTCAGACCTTTCTCTTCTTTAACTTTAAAAATAATCAGAATTCAAATCATACAGGATTTTGTTGGTCAAAACCAGAAAACTGGGTAGTGTGGATTGTGGGCCTGTATATATGTGATCCTGACTGTTCACTTTAATAGGAGATGATGATGACAATGATGATGATTTGAGGTGCTGGGAATCAAACCCAGGACCTTGTGACTGTTAGGCAAGCACTATACCATTGACCTGCATCCCCTGCCCACTAACAGGAGATACTGAAGTTTATGAGTTTGAGAGAGGAGGGGAGATTGAACTGAAGAGCAAGGGAGAAGTCCCAGCCTTTGCCTGTTTTCTTTGACAGTAGTGGAAAGAGTAAGATATTGAGGAGGCAAGGGACCGACCATAGGACCCAAAACTACTCACTGTACCCCTGGTTCTCATATGAATTTATTAGTTGATGGATGTGCTCTTTATTGCCCAACTCTCCTGGACTGTTCCAGAATGGTTTCTTCAGGAACTTCTCCCAAAAGTCGCCAGCTTTTGTGTAATTTTTTTAATCTGTGTGTGGCTCTCTTGTGGAATTGCTTAACAAACAGACAGTTCCCTAGGGCCACTGTGTTGGAGAGCCTAGGGCCACTGTGTTGGAGAGCCTAGGGCATGTGTGTAAGATGGCAGATAAGTACCAGATCTAAGCCATCACAGCTTAGGAGAGTTTGTTGGGCCTTTTAATCGTAAAAAGTGGCCATTGTTTTATGCCGGCGCACTTTCATTTCCTATCCTGGCCTATTTGTGACAAGTGACGGGTTCTGGAGGTTTGGAACTCATGTAGCTTTCCCCTCCCCAGACTTGGCAGCTAAAACAGGAATGAGTTATTTGGGATAAATGTATCAAAAATATTGCTGTTAAAAAAGTATTTTGGAGTTGAGTTCATTTCTTTTCTGAAGAAGATGAGTTTCTTTCAAGAATGGTTAGGTTTTTCTATTTATTGAAACTTCTTTTTTTGCAGAGGAAGAGAGAATCTGCAGAAGAATATTCTCATCCGTTGCATTATACCTGATCCCTTTTGCTTCTGTGTTTTTAATGTGTTTTAATTCTAATGCCTGTTCTTGCCATCATGCCCCCTCCCCACAAAAATCCCAATAGAGAAAGTTAAAAAAAAAAAAAAAGTCCTATATCTGCCTTTACCCTTTGGCTCCTGGATTCCCACTACCTTGTAATAACTACTTTTTAGCTCTTTGGTATATTTCTTTCTAGTTACTATTCCAGGAACATTGTAAATGTGTCCATTTGTATCTGCATCTCTTTTTAAATGGTGTATCTGAACTATTTCAGAGCTATCCTAAAGAGGAGACATGCTTTTACTTTTAAGTGAGTTGAACTTCTCTGTTCCAGTTTTGTTTTTTTTAAAGTTGCCTAGATGTTTTCAATTATGAGTCTTGAGAGGTAGTGGTGTATGGAGAGTTTTTATGAATCAGTGCACATACCACAGGATTGTACCTGTCTACTACATGAAAAGGAACCTCCTACGTGCTGGTTGTTGATTTGTGCATGCTTTATAAAAATTGCAGTATAGTCTTTGCTAATTTGGCACATCACTTTAAGAAGACGGACCATACCTGGAACAGGGAGTCCTTTGGGGTAATAATTATATTGACTCGTATGGCCACTGTGGAGTTCCTGTGTTTTGTGTTTCTTGGGGAGTATTGGTTCACAGTTAAATAGACCTAATTAGAATAGGCACACTCTCTGGAAATATGAGCTATATTACAATTAGTAAATTTCCTGTTTCCTTACTATGTGTTTTTGTTTTGTTCTCTTTTATTTATTTTTTTAAAACAGCAAGCCAGGGCTGAGCAGGAAGAAGAATTCATCAGCAACACTTTATTCAAGAAAATTCAGGCTTTGCAGAAGGAGAAAGAAACACTTGCTGTAAATTATGAGAAGGAAGAAGAGTTTCTCACTAATGAGCTCTCCAGAAAATTGATGCAGGTAAATTATCTCTTCTACCCTCTCATCTTCCCTGCCTATCTTCCTCTCTGGGAAGAAATGACTTTGATAGAGCACTTTGTTTCAAGCATTTGCTGATGAGGTTTTCAGCAAAAGTTCTTTGGAGATTTAAAATACCAGGTTCAGTATGGCAGCATTGTGGTCCTCAGGCTGTTTCTGTGCCCCATCTGCTTAGGAAAGGTAAGATTCTGTACGCTTAGCGTTTCACAGACTCTGAAAAGTTGCACTGAAACTTTTCTTATTCATGGTGGTGAGCCTGAGGCCTTACATGGGCTATGTTGTATGTAGAATTTTAGAAATAAGGTAATTAACACCAAATATAAGATTTCTTTCTCCTTTGATGTTAAATCTATAAGGAATGCATAAACTTCCAGACAGTAGTAAGTGTGTCTTTTGCACTAAAATATGAGGATATGAAGTGAAAAAACTTTAGAAAGTAAAAAGGTGTCCATGATAATTAGAATTATACACAAACAAGTTCAAATGCATAATATGTTACTAAATAGACATCAAACTTCTATTAAAACCACTAATCACTGGTAATACATAGAAGATACCACACATAACATATGGGAGATTTTGGATTCTCTTGTTATAGACTCATCCTCTGTGTGCCAACCCCCCTTTTCCCACTGCTTCCTACCTTTTCTTTTTAATTTCAAAGCCTACTAGTAAAGTATACCAGTACAAATTTTTTTAATGAGAAATAGTTTGTGGGTTAATCAGAATGAATTTAAGAATATCTAAGATGTTGTTTTCATTACTTAGCACAGTGTGTCCAAAATAATGAACAGGTATAAAACTGTCATAAGAGGGACATTACTCTCAATTTGTCCTTAGACGTCTTTGAATGAAACAGTCCCTTATATTTTCTATTCACTGGTATTACCAACAAGTTCATTAATTAATTAATTAAGTTGAAGTATGTGTTTTAGTAATGTTGTGATAAGATATTTGAGACTTTATAATTTTTTCTGACTCTGCACATAGACGATCCTGTCAGAGGATACTGGAAATGTTGGTATATAGAATTTTTGATGTTAAGACCATGCAGTGGTCTAGGAGGGTTTTTCAGGGACATTGTGGTTCCTTAAAATAAGATACTAAAAAGAATGAAAACTTAAGAGCCATATGCCATAAAAAAGGAAGTTAGTCATAGTAATATACTAGGCATAAGAGTGCTTGAATTTAAAATTTAAGCTTTGAGTATCCTACAAATAATGCTATAACCTGGAGAATTGTATGATTGCTTTTTCATCATTCTTACATCTAAAAAAAAAAATTAGTTCTACTTGACCAGAAAAAAAAAATTCATGTTGCAAACATAGATCCACCCCCACCCCTAATTTTTCACTCTAAAGAGAGTGAAGAGTGAACAAAGTGAATAACAAAATAATCTGCTTTTGCCAAAAGTAGTATATATAATGAGTGGCCCTAGAATTCATTTGACTTGTGTATTATGTTTGTCCCCACTCAAAACAAAGAGTATGGTTTAAAGATGTAACTTTAAACACTGGAGAGCTCTAGGTAGCTTGCTGGTAATCCAACTTGTAAAATCTAAGCATATGGAAGGTTAGCATGTCCCTAAGATAATTTCTAATGAATCTCTGTGTGGTTTTTTGGCTTTTTGTTTGTTTATTTAAATATTGGGATTTTGTTGTTCTTTTTTCTAAATATGCATAACAAAAATTTGCCATTTAACCATTTTTGAAGTACAGGTCAATAACATTAAATATCTGCACATTATTGTGCAGTCGTCACCACTGTCCATCTTCAGAACATTGTTGAACTGAAACTCTGACCCACTAAATAATAATGCCTTATTCCCTTCTCATGGTTCTTGGGCTTTTGAAAGGAGGCGGATAGCAGGTAGCTTGAAGTTAAGGTCTCTGACAAATTTCCAAACTATGTCCCTTCTGTGGCATGACAGATAATTTGTCATTTTAGACAACAAGTATCACAACATGCCATTTTGTAATGATCTGAAAAACTGGCTTCTGTTGGCCAACTGGAGGATCTCATAGCTACACGGGGGGAGAAGGGATGTCTGGCATGGTGTACTCATTCCCCAGGCTCCCCGTACATGTTTCCTTAAATGGTTTCAACCATTCCTTTGTTGAATGCCCACATTTTCTGCCATCCAGCATGGAAGTGCTGCTCTCCATCTGGGAGATTTTTAGAATAATTGATACCAATAGGCTTTTCCAACTGTGTAATTACTTTAATATAGCTTTCTAGGTGTTTGCTCCTGGATAAGACTGGAAAAGCTCATTAAGAGAAACCATACTGCAGGTGTCACTGCTAGACAAATGAGTGATTTGACCTGATCACCCTGAAAGTGCCTAGCATTTTTCACCCAGAGGCCACTGAAAGGCTATTTATAGAACAGTTTTGTATTTGTCAGCTTGCTTTGGCTGTTAATCACTCATAGAGATTGCACTTGCTTTTATCTGCATTTCAAAGGGATTCTTTGATCCTGAGAACAGAGATGAGAATATTGCTGTAGAAGAGATGTGTCTCTTCCTATCTGCTGTGGTACAACTGTTATACCTTTAAAGACTGAACCAGGTTTATGTAAATGTAAATGAGAAGAAACCCCTGCCCTTCAGAAGATCAAGTTTGAAAGATAGATTTAAACACCCCCAGACATGCTAATCCGCATTAAAGCAAACACACACACCAAAGAGAACATGCAGCTTTTCTCCCTTGATTTTGTGCCTAAATTATATCCATTTTGTGAAAGCTCTTGTTTGAAAAATCTGTATCTTTCTGATCCCATACTATGGTACTGATTACTTGATTGGTGAGAAATTGTCCTGAAAGGAGCCCTTTAGTATTTTTGGCAGGTCCAGCGTAAACCTGCATCAGGGTTAAATTCTGCTTGGATGGAATGCCTTGAAAAGAAGTTGTAGTATAATCATTATTTCTAATTAAAATGTATAAGAAATGTTTTATGAGCAAATTTTTGTTCAGAATTTGATATACAACATCATATATAGATATAAAAATGTTCAACAGGCTCTTCTCCAAAATGTCAGAAATTTTGCTTGGGTGCTGAGTTCATAGGTTTTGTTTTTGTGTGTGTGTGTCCTTTTCCTTCTAATTTGTAAAAAGTAACATGCACTATTTTGTAACTAGAAAATGTCTTCTTTTTAAAAAGAATTAAAAGATTTTGTGATCTAATTGTACTTGCCTTTTGAAACCTCCTTCTATGCCTCTGACAATAGAGCTCGGAGTCCTGCTATCCTAATTCTGTTTCTTTGTCACGGGGAGCAGTGCATGAAGCCCCCTGCAGAGTCCGAAGATTCTCCACTGCCCACAGTGCTCTAGTCACCTCTCTCCACTGGCCTTCTGTTGTTAAAAAAAGGTCCTAATTTCTCCGGCTAACTGTTAACCACCAATCATCACTGCTAGCAGGAAGACCTGTCATTGCTGAGATTGATAATGACTTTAGCAGCTGTAAATTTTTCCACTTGCTTTTGTGCAAGTCTAATACGTCAGGTTCACTTCCTGCTCTATGGGGAGCCTAGCCACCTTGCCCAGGATTGTTCCCTATACTTTTCTGAACAGATTTAACTGCCAAAAGTTAATGCACACTTTTTTTTTTCCTTTTTACTCTAGAACAAGACTGGGATAAAAAGAGTATTGTGTTATTACATATATCTCAATCTTTGCAGTCTAATCCAACTTTGAAATTTCACACATTAAAATAACAAATAGGTTTATAGTACTATACCTTTGATTTTGAAATAAGATCTGGTTCTCAGAAAATAATTCTATTATAGCTGCAATAGAAGTTCTTTTAGCCTCTTCCCAATAGGGGGAATGCATTCTTGTTAATTATTGAAGATACTTAGGAAGAGTTTTCTGGATTTCTGTAAAGTGTCATTGCTTATTTGTATTATTGACCTGGCCCACTGAGGTTAAAATGCCTCCTGGAAATCAAAGTATTTGAAGGTTTTTTAGCATCTATGGCAAGATAATCTATAGAAGGAAGGAAGGAAGTTGTAGGCAGAACTACTGTCAAAGCTGCCACTATTGAAGAATGATAGCTGAGCACTTCAGAATGATGTCATGCCAGAGCGTTATTCTTCCATCTCTTTTATAGAGGAATAAACCTGTGAGGAAGAATTTCAGTGAGTCCCCAGTTCTACCTATTCACTTAAACCTTACAACTTCATTTGCCTTTTCTGTTTCCTCTCTGGAGAAGCCATTTCTCCTTCTAGTATTTGTTTTTTCTCTAGAGCTTATTCTTCCCTAACCTAGAAGAGTTGTATCTCTGAGTAACATGATGTGTCTGCAGGCATCAGCAGTGAGTACAGACCCCCAGGTCTCTTCTTTTCAAACTTGTACACCAGAATTTGAGGCTGCTTCCTGCCATTACCGCTAAGAGGGTAATAAAATTATTTTGTTTGTGCAGGCAGCAAAGTCACATGTCAGGATGATAAATAATGCATGAAAAGCTGTTTCGTTGATTTCAAGGGCACCAAGGCTAAGACAGCCATTGTATCCGTTCATGTGAAAACTTGGATCCTTCTTTGGGAGGGGAAAGGAGACCTTGAAATATGTTCTTCATTAAAACGGCTAGACCTGAGGCCCTCTTGGCCTATAGTTTTTCATGGCTATTAATACTGATCAGAGAAATTTGCTGGTATATAATAGCTCTCAAAATATTCAGGGCAAATTTTTTCTTGTTGTTTTCATTTTCAAGTAGCTGAAGCTCAGCTTTATCTGATCTTCCTTTCTTTCCATGGAGCAAGAAGTTTACACATTGCACAACATAGTTTATGTTGTTATTAGAAAAGACAACAAACTTGAAGAGGTTCTTCACGCTTAAGAAATCGCTGAATTTCTTCTGAAGTTTTGTGCATGTGTACCCTTGTTAACTTTATTGCTATATTTAATGTGCTAGCACAGATTTTAAAAACAAAACAAAGGAAGGGCAGGAAGAAAGGCTCAGAAGCTTTCTGTGCTGACTTCTT